ATTAAAGCAGAAAATCCCTGCAGAACAGCAGGTTCATGGATACAGTTCAGTGAAAGATCAGTAAAACGCTGAGTCAAATCTGTTTCTTTATTGAGAAAAATATCTGATAACTTGGATTGGCAGTTAATGAAACAAAGGAAGATCCAAAAAGTATACTCCAGGACCTGGTCCTGACTATTGGAACCTTAGCTGTGAAATGTTAGATCTCACTGTTGAATAATGTTGTTGTAGTGTGGGATAATATTTTGCTTGGTTTATTTTGTACTCCAAGAGGAAGAAAAGCGTTTTCTCTGGCAGAGGTTTGCTTACAGTTATTTTCTCCATCACAAATTCTGATTTTTATCTCTCTCTTTCACACACAGAAGCACACAATCTGGAAAGGCGAACAATGTCTCCACTCCTCAATAATCTGCACACTGAGACAGTACGGTAATACTGTGCCAAACCCTTCAAATAGTGGATACAATTGACAAGATTATCAAAGAAGAAAGCAATGGCCTTTTTTTTGCAGTTAGTTAGTATTCTTCATGTTTTCTCTCCACGTCAAATGTAATAACTATGTGAAGGTGGTGGTAATGGCTCCTCCATCTGTACAAATGATGCCGGACCAAGTATAGGAGCCCCAAAGCTTAGTTTCTAACTGACAAGATCAATCTGTTCTTTCCAGCAAAGAGGATCATCTTGAAAGTTATAAACAGTCTGTTGATTCTCACTCAACATGCAAATCCATACAAGAGAAGAAAGCAGTCCTTTCATTTCAAAGGCATGATGCTACTAATTAAGATCAAAGAAATAATCACCACCTTTTAAACAGATTAAGCCAATCCTTCAATTTGCCTACAGCTCAGTCTATTAAATAATTTCAGGGCAGTATAAATTGTGCAGTTTATGGGAAGAAACAAATGCCGAATAACCTTCTGAGTCCACTGTATGTTCACATTTTATTTCAGGCAGTGAGAATGGAAAATTGTAGACATTTGCAAAACTCTTGCTGAATCGCTAACTGGACATCCTCGGAGAATATTTACTGCCCTAAGAAGCCTTCAATCTGTCAGCTGCATCAATTTTCGATTTAGTCCCGTTCAATTACTTCCCAGTCCAAATTTAATGCTCCAAAAGTGTAGACAGAGCTGACAAACCAAATAAAACACGGTTGTTCAGAATACATGAAACGATTAATTCATGAACAAGGGCGGCACGGTGGCTCAGTGGTCAGCACTGCTGCCTCACAGCACCGGGGACCCGGGTTCGATTCCACCCTTGGGTGACTGTCTGTGTGGAGTTTGCACATTCTCCCCGCGTCTGCATGGGTTTCCTCCTACAGCCCAAAGATGTGCAGGTTAGGTGAATTGGCCATGTTAAATTGCCTGTAGTGTTCAGGGATATGTAGCTTGGGTGCACTTATGGGGCTTTTTATTGAATAGTCACAATTTAAGGATTGGAAATTGGACAGGTGGCAGGGAGCCTTGATCAGTTGTAGGTCTTACTTGCAGCAGGAGTTGAATTTCAACTCTACATTTGAACACAACATGTAGCCTGGCAAGTTTTAATAATGTGTGTTTGAGCATTTAGATGGATGTAAAAAATGTCACTATTTGGGTCAGAATAAGTAGGCTCTCTGAGTATACTGACCAATATTTATTCCTCAACAAACATCACTAAAATATGCAATTTTGTTGATTTTAGTTGGACCTTGTTCTGTCAATACTGCTGAGCATATTACTCTACAATAGCAATTATACTTCACAAAGTTTTAATTGACTGGGATATCCTGGAGTTGGGAATGTTACTATATAAATGCAAGTCTTTTTTCTCTAAATCATTAACCATATCTTCAGATATTGAGAGTTATGGGAATTAGTATTCACTAAAAAACTTCTGAAATGAGACTGGTAACATTTGGAGCACTAAAACTTTCAATGGCATACAACAATAGCACTTACATTAGTTTCCGTTTCTGAGCATGCCGCATCTTACTGAAAGGTGCTGTTTTTTGTTTCTTTTTTGCACTGTCAGAAAATTTAAAAAAAAACAAGCAATGGTTAAGCAACCTATACATCACCAAGTTCAATAAAAAATTATATTTTGAAAGCGAGGCATCTCTACACAGGTTTCCATCTTAGCACAGAGGTGTCTTGCTGCTGGAATCATGATAAAAATTTATCATTACCCTAACTATTGGCGATATTCTTGGACCATTTGCTGTACTGCAGAAACTTGCCCAGCACCTGACTTGGAGTTACTGCTGCTCTTCTGAGATCATGGCCACAACTTCACCTCTTTCATAACTTCCCTTGCAGTCAGGTTTGCAGGGAATAGACACATTCTACTATCCACCAATTCCTTAGAAAGTGATGAAACTGCCACTAGTCTGCTCAAGACTGGCCAATGAGTGAGAGAGACAGAGGTAATTGGTTTTATTGCTACAGGTGGTCTAAAACTCTTCACATGTTTACGGCTGGAAGACCAGTTTGCAGGTCTGGATCACAATGTATTTTTGATCTGTTGCTAATAATGTATTAAAACCAGAGTTTTGAATTTATACTTTCTGCCGCTCTGACCGCTGGTTTTATTTCACCTTGGTTCATTAACAACATTTATTTCCAATTAAGACGGGGAATGAAGCAAAAGCATCCTTCAGAACAACTTGTGGAATTTGATATTTTGTCAGAGATAGTTGCAAAACAAAACACTTGGACTTATTGTAACCAAAATGTAATGGTTCCATCTGAGTTGCTTATGCCAACTGAACTCTATTTGCAGATCACTTTTAGATGATAGACTTCCAGACATGGCTCAATTCTCAAAATTCCTTTGATCAGGGACACAAGAACAAAGACACTAAATCTTCAACAACATTGAAAACTAAACAGAACCCTGCTCCAGACAAAGTATAGCTACCTACTGCAAGTACCAATTTCCTTGCCACACCATCAGTCTAGATTATTGTTTTCTTGAGGTTCTCTCTTAAGCAGATTTGCAAATGGTTCATTATGCACACAAAGACTAAATCCTACGACTGCACGCATATGAAACTAACGTCTTCAGTTAAACATGATGAAGAGCAATGTATCATCCTCAAAAATGTACTGGCTTTATTTGATAACAATCCTAAAAATAACTAATGTGTGATAAATGTCTACGAAATTTGATTTATGTGTTGAAGTATTTTGGCCTCAGTCATGTAATAAAAAGTGTACAATCTGTTCATAAAATAAATCCCCCAAATTAGGGTTTTACATTTCCCAGTGTCATTGTTTACTCTTTTTGTCCTTGCACACGTCAGAGAAAGCAGGTGAGCAGAAGAGAGATTATAGCTCAACACAAAATGAGAAACTTCACACACCTTACAGAAGGCATTGTTGTATGAGTTCATAACAGACAGGAGAATAATCATTGTTGCGCAATATTAGAAACGTAAGATTTTAATCTTCTCAGCCTCTGCTGAATCTTGGCAGGTTTTCTTGCATGCTTCTTTGCCACAGGTTGTTAAAGCTACAGGCAATTTCCTGGGCCTTCACTCTGTGAATATCTTGTTACATTTAATTCTGTCAATTATTTCAGGTTTGAGGACCTTTTTCTGCTTGAATGTCACCATATAAGAGAACAGAATTACTCTCTGGTAACTCTGCTCATCACCTTACACAGATTTTAGCAACCTGCAAAGCCTTTAAGTTTCCAAAACACGGGATACCATCAAGCAGTGTACAGACAGAAGTAGCCTGGCTGCTTTCTCTTGTAAGAATGCAGCTTACCAAAGAGAGGGTTGGGGCCCCAGTTGGCCGTGTCCACCTGGGAGCTCCGACCGTGCTCTAACAGTTGCACTCCCACTTTAACAGACAAACCTCACTCCCACAGGTCCCCATCTCACTCCCACATGATTCCCTTCCTCTGGCCATCAAACACCACCACTACCACTGACTGTCCTCACTGGGGTCACAACAATTTTCAAGCCTCAGGATAGGGTCATGGTGCCAGAAAGTTTGAGAAGTACTATCTCAGGAGATCTGAGGCGCAAGGAAAAAAAACAGAACTTTCGGCCTTGATATCTGAGCAATTATCTTCAAGGTGCCTTGGGTAGCTGGTATGGAAAAGTCACACCCAGAAAACCAAATTCAATTGTGGGAATAGGTCAAAGAGACTCAGGAAAGTAGGGAGGTTTTTAAATCAAAGAGTAATCACTAGACGAAGCAGACTACAGGGTAAAACAACTAAGAATCATTGGAATCCTGCAGTGGACAAATTAAGATGGGCAGATTCCTCAAGAAGAGAAGATTAAGGGCTGATGTATTTTGGTCGTTCAAATTAATTCCATATAATGTGAATCATAATAATTTGATTGGGGAGACAGTGAGAAAAAAACTCCTCTGGTGGGACAGTTTGGAAAACGGGGCAGAGCTCTTAAGATTAAGGCTAAGTCATTTAGGGATCATGTCAGAAAACACTTTCCAGAAGCTAGAAGCGAAATCTGGAACTCTCTCCTCTTAAAAGCTGCTGAGGGACAACTGAAAACATCAAAACAGACAGACAGACAGATTTTTGATCTACAAGAATATTGAGAGATCTGGAATTATGAAAAATTGAGTCATGGGACAGATCAGCCATAATCCAGTTGGGTGACAGAAAAGATTCAAGGAGTTCAAGCAGCGCATTCCTGCTCCTTAAAATGATCTTCCTGCTTCTTAACTGTCATGTAATCCAGTCACTAATACATTCAAATGTTCGATGGGTTAGGATAAGGTGGAGATATCAATGTGATCATGTCAATGTCTAATAAAAGGATATGCAGATACTAACTTTAAGAAATTAATTAAAGTAGAACATAAAAGACAAAGCATAGTACAAATGATGAATTAGTTATGTATTTTCTTTACATCAGTTAATACCTCTTTGATTTATTAGCCACAGCACTAGCACTGATCAAATCTGTCAGTTCCGGCAGTGCATCAGCAAGTGGCTGCATGTCTCCCACCACTGGGACGGCTTTGCGCTTCTCTTGGGCTTTCTTCTTCTGTTCTGCCAGTTTGATCATCTCAATTTCTGCAAGATAAAATGCCAGAATACCTTCTGGAGATTGACCTTCTTTTGATACAGCTTAAATTCAAATTTCAGTGCATTTATGGGGTAATTTTCTAATTCATTCTATGACATGTATCACCAGTCTCTGTCTCAGAATATCAGGAAACTGCCAAAAACTGCAATTTTCCACCGAGTGTGGGGAAGGGATGGTGTCATAATATTTTTGCTGGGCTAGTAATCCAGAGACTTAGGTAATACCCTGGGGATAGGAAATTTCACCATGCCAGTCTAATAATAACCATGAATCCACTGTTGATTCCTGGAAAAACCCATCATGTTCACCAATGTCATTAAGGGAAGGAAATCTGCCATCTTTCCCTATCTGTCCTTCACTTGACTCCAATCCCATGGCCGCCTGAAATGGCCTTTCCAGCACTCAGTTGTATCAAACCATTACAGTTTCTAAACCAAAGCATGAAGTCACTCGGTTTTGACCATGACAACGTAAACACAGCCCTATCAACTCTGCAAAGTCCTCCTTACTAACATTTGGAGGCTAGTGCCAAGATTGGGAGAGCCGTCTCACACTAGGCAAGCATCAGCCTGGCAGATAGTTGTACCCATGGAATCATACACAACAGACAAATCCCTGATAACACCATCACCATCCCTGACCACATCCTGTCAACAGGCAATGGCACAGTGATACAGTTGGGAGGGAGCTGCTTTGGGATCCAACATTGGGACAACACCAAAATTCTGGGACAAACTAAGCAGAGACAGGCATGGGAACTTCTAGAAGCCTGGCGCTCCACGAAGAAAGCCACTAATAAACACATAGAACTCGACCCCATATACACTCCACTACGAAGGAAAACCGGAAGTGAGGCAATCCAGCTCAACAGACGCCAGAGTTTAAAAACCAGGCGGGAAAACACACCGACGCTTCATCAGAGGCTGCACTGAGGATGTTACCCAGCATGGTAACGAAATGTCTGCGGAATTACAAACCGGCTCAGCGAGCCAACCAACCTCAACACCCACAACCCGAGCTACAAATCTACTCCAAAACCTTAGAGACTCAACATTGACAGTAGACCCCATGAAGTCTCATGGCATCAGGTAGAATACCCGCAAGGAAACCTTCTGCTGATAAATTCCACTCACCACCCAACCAACCTCCAACTAAAGCTGATTGAAGGACATATGATATAGATTGCATCTGTTGCAGTGAAGGACTAAAAAAAAGAGGGAAACACATACTTCATCTCAACCTCACCAAGCTGCCTGATACAAATGTATTTGTCAGTGACAGTGGTCAGAGTGACCATCACATAGTTCTTTTGAACAATGGCTCCACAAAATGTACCCATCCTTCAAGAATGGGGACAACCACCAAATCATTGCAAAAAATAAAGCTAAAGAGTTCACTACAATTGACAGCCAGAGTGCCAAGTAGATGATCCATCTCGGCCTCCTCCAGAGGTCATTGCCATCACAGATTCCAGACTTCAGCCAATTCAATTCACACCACATGACATCAAAAAACAGTTTAAGATGCTAGATATGGCAAAGGCTAATCACCCCTGACAACATTCCAGCAATAGAATTAAAGATTTTTATTGCGCCAGCATTTGTCGCACTGTCACCAAGTTATTCCAATACAGCTATAACAGTGACATCTACCTGACAATGTAGAAACCTACTCAGGCATGTCCTGCACACAGAAAGCAGAACAGACTCAACTTAACCAGCTACTGACTCTTCAATCTATTCTCTATCATTAGTAAAGTGATGAAAGGAGTCATCAACTATGCTGCCAAGCAGCAACTGCTCAACAATAATTGACTCATAGACGCTCAGTTTGGGTCTGCCAGAACCACTCAGCTCCTGACATCACGACTGCCTTGATTCAAGTGCAGACTATAAAGAGCTGAATTGTAGAGATGAGGTCACAGCGACTGTCCTTGACATCAAGCTTGCATTTGCCAGAGTATGGTAACAAGGAGTCTGAGCAAACTGGAGTCAATAAGAAATTAAGCTGACAAATAGCAAGCAAGATTTGCACCACCCAACTACCAGGCAATGACTGTCTCCAATAAAAGAGAATCTAGCCAGTATCTCTCTTTATTCAGTGCCATCAGCATAACTGAATTCCCCACTGCCATCATCTCGGGGGTCACCATTAACCAGAAACAGAACTGGACTTGCCGTATAAATGATGTGGCTACAAGAGAAAGCCAGAGGGAAGGAAGCCTGCAGCCCGTAACTCACCTCCAGACTACCCAAAGCCTGTCCAGATCTACAAGGCACAAGTCAGGAGTATGATGGAATACTTCCCACTTTCCTGGATGAGTGCAGCTCAAACAACGCACAAGAAACTTGACACCACCCAGGACAAAGCAACCCACTTGATTTGCATTACATGCACAAACATCTATTCTCCCCACCAACACTGTAGCAGCAACAATAGGGCAGCACGGTGGCTCAGTGGTTAGCTCTGCTGCCACACAGTGCCAGGGACCTGGGTTCAATTCCAGCCTCTGGCGACTGTCTGTGTGGAGTCTGCACATACTCCCTGTGTCTGCGTGGGTTTCCTCTGGGTGCTCCGGTTTCCTTCCACAGTCCAAAGATGTGCAGGTTAGGTGGATTAGCTATGCTAAATTGCCCATAGTGTCGAGGGTGAGAAATGCAGGGATATGATAAGGGGTGGGTCAGGGTCGGATGCTCTTCGGAGGGTCAGTGTGGACTCAATGGGCCACATGGCTTGCTTCCACGCTGTAAGGATTCTATGATCGATGAACATGCACTATTTGCAAAATGCATGGCAATGATTCACAAAGACAGCTTCCTTCAATCTCACGACCACTGCCATCTAAAAGGGTGGGGCAGCAGATACATGGGAATACCACCAGTTCTCCTCCAAGCCACTGATCATCCTGCCTCACAAATACACATCCATTCTTTCACTGTCGCGGGGTCAAAATCCTGCACCCTCCTCCCTAACAACACTACACCAAATGAATGCAGCGTTTCAAGGCAGCAGCTCACCACCATCACCTTCTCAAGGGAAATTAGGTGGGCCCACTAAATGATCACCCAGCCCACATCCCTGAACAATTTAAGAAAATTCTGCACCCCCTTCATCATGCAAACTTATAAAGTGACAACTTCTTGTTGTTAAATATTGTAAAATATTAATTTTAACAGCATACTCGAAAGGAAAGTATTATGGTCAAAAAACAGAGTGGAGCAAAACCATGAACATAAAGGTATATACTACAGAAGTGGACATAATAACCCAAGTATTACAATTTAAGAATGAGCAGAAACCTGTCATTTGGCTCTGCCATTTAACAAGATCATGGATGATCTTATACCTGAATTATCCTATATCTCCTGACTTCCTTGTATCAAGAGGTCTGTCGATTTCTGACTTAATATGCTCAATAACTGAACATCTATAGTTCTCTTAAATACAGAATAGCATAGTGTTTAAATCACAGATTGAGAGTGGTCAGCTGCAGGAAAGGTCTCGAAGGATCTACCCTGTCAAGCCCTTATAAATTTTCATATGTTCCCATGACATAATTTTGTCTTCTTCTAAACTCTGGTGAGTATCAAACTGTTTGGTGAATTCTTTAGGACCTTATCATAGAACAAACCTCTCATTCCATCATATGCCAGGAACCAGTCTAATAATTCTTAACTGCACTCCTAAGGCAAATAAATCCTTCCTTCAGGGAGACATCCTCGAGAGGTTCATGCAACCACAGGTCCCAAAATGTGCCATATATATATCTATTCACTTATCCATTTGCCAATTAAAGCTCCAGTGCACATCTTCACTTTTGTATTTTGTGGTCACTGATGTGTATTTAAAACTAAACACACAGATTTAAAAGAGATTGGGCAAAAGTGAGACGTGGTACTCACTCTGAAGCCATCGTTCATGCCGTTGTTTTATTTTCTCTTTCTTGGAGATTTGAAGTGTGTCACCTACAGGAGAAAACAATGCAGCATTTAATCTAAGTAGTAACGCAGGAAAGCAAATGCTCAAAAATTCAAACAGAACACTAGAGATAGGAGATAATGTATAAATCTAACTTATAACCTAACAGATAGCTATAAGCATTTCAAACTTGCACCATAACACACCAAGTCACAAGGTCTGTGGACTTGAAAGTGTATAGTGCGCAATGGTCATTATGCAGCTCTGCATTCAGTCATATCCATTTCAGTCAATCAAAAGAATCTGCAAATGAGTAAGCTCTTCTCGTTACTAACAGTGCTGATTACTCTATTTCTAATTATTTTGACTAAGTCTTAAGGAAGGCCCAAGTTCAGAATTGCAGCTTTCACATGCCTGGCATAATTGATGGGGCCATATCTGGAATACTGCATGGCTCCAGGCCTAACAACTCATGCAGGGTGAGCAGCACAGGTTCACCATAATATAACTGAAATGAGCAGGGGTTGAATTATGACGACGTGTTGCAAAGATCAGCTTTGCATTCTCTCAGGCACAGACGATTTTTATAATCGTCTAACTGAGATGTTATGATGCTTCAAGGATTTGACAAGCAGGATGGATAAAAACCATTTCCTCTGGCAAGGGTAGTCAAGAACAAAGGAGCCATAACCTTAAAATTAGCACTTCAACACCCAGAGGTGATGTCAGGAAGCAATCCTTCACATAAAGGGCAATGGAAATCTGGAACACTCTCAATAAGCTGGTAATACTGAAGGTTAAATGGAAGTCTCTAACTGGGATTAATAGCTTTTCAGTTAAAGTACGAAGGGCATAGAGCTATGGCAGATAATGGAATTCAGGCAAAGATCATGATATAACTGAACAGCGGATCAGGCTCGATAGATTGACTCACCTACTTGATTGTTCTTAAAGCACTGACTGGGGCCAATAGCTTAATTTCCTTTTGTCAAAGGGAAAAAATTAATGGTAGCTGTAACTTGACTCAAATTTTATTCTAAGTTAGTACTGGAAATACAAATGTTCTAGTACCTCACTTGGAAATATTCCATATCAAATACCAATATATCTTTGGAAAATAAAAGAAGAACATCACTCCATGGGGTTACTGGTCACAGCACACAATGCATTATCAATATTGATCTGGAACTCACCTAAACCTTTGTCAAACTGATACAAGTATAAAGCAGAACCCATTCTCTTTGTCAGGGTAAGGGGCAGTAAACAAGTAAATAAAGACTGAAAACTTTGTCACCTTACAGTTGGAAACTGCCAAGTAAACAAAAAGAAAGTCTAAAATTTGGCCATACATTCAATCTACAAATCTCCATTAGACCTTCAGCAGGCAGATGCAACTTGACCAGTTGCTAACTCATGTCACAGTACTGAAGAGCTCATGGAAGCAACTTTCATTCAGCAAAGGTGAATGCTGGAATATAACTGAGCAGGTTATGGTCATTTCTATGGAGAGGAACGGATTTAATGTCGCAGATCTCTGTTTTTACATCAGAATTTGAACTTACTGAAAGCTCACAGTGTAACCAATAATGTATTTACATGGACATTTATTTTTATGTGGGTCAGTCAGCTGACAGCTGCTTTTGGTGCAGTGATGCTAATACTGCAAGTACAATTCCTGTTCTGCTGAACTCTCTATGAAGGCCTTGCCAATCTTGCCTCTCACCTGAGGTGTAGTGACCCTCAGGTTAAATCATCACCAGTCCTGTCTCTCTAATGAGACAGCAGTGTTACGGTCCTCTGGGTCTAGGATGACGTTACCTTTTATATGAATAAAGGATTGGCTTGCTAACAGGAGCAAGAGACCAAGGACAAGTGAGCCTTTTTCAGCTTGGCTAGCTATAATTAGTCAGTGATGAGTGACCAGTTCTGGGGCATCAAGGGCCCAATCTACATGGATTTCAATAAGGCATTCAACAACGTTCCTCATGGTAGACTGGTTAACAAGGTTAGGTCACATAGAATACATTTGGATACAGAACTGGCTCAAAGGCAGAACAAAGAGGATGGTGGTGGAGGGTTGCTTTCCACACTGGAGGCCTGTGACCAGCAGAGTGCCACAAGGATCAGTGCTGGGTCCACTCCTTTTCGTCATTTATATAATTGATTTGGATGTGAACACAGAAGGTATGGTTAGTAAGTTTGCAGATGACACCAAAATTTGAGGTGTAGTGGACAGCAAAGAAGGTTACCTCAGAGTACAACAGGATCTTGATCAAATTAGCCAATGGGCCAAGGAGTGGCAGATGGAGTTTAATTTAGATGCTGCATTTTGAAAAGGCAAATCAGGGCAGGACTTATACACTTAATAGTAAGGTCCTGGGGAGTGTTGCTGAACAAATAGGCCTTGGAGTGGAGGTTCATAGTTCCTTGAAAGTGGAGTCGCAGGTAGACAGGATAGCGAAGAAGGCACTTAGTATGCTTGCCTTTGATGGTCAATGCATTGAATACAGGAGTTGGGATGTCACGTTGCGGCTGTACAGGACATTGGTTAAGCCACGATTGGAATACGGGGTGCAATTCTGGTCTCCCTGCTTTCGGAAGAATGCTGTAAAACTTGAAAGAGTTCAGAAAATATTTACAAGGATGTTGCCAGGGTTGGAGGGTTTGAGCTTAAGGGAGAGGCTGAATAGGCTGGGGCTACTTTCCCTGGAGCATCAGAGGCTGAGGGGTGACCTTATAGAAGTTTATAAAATTATGAGGTGCATGGATAGGGTAAACAGACGAAGTCTTTTCCCCAGAGTGGGGGAGTCCAAAACTAGAGAACATAGGTTAAGGTGATAGAGGAAAGATTTAAAAGGGACCTGATGGGCAACTTTGTCACACAGGGTAGTGCATGTGTAGACTGAGCTGCTAGAAGTAGTGGTGGAGGCTGGTATAATTACAACATTTAAAAGGCATCTGGATGGGTATATGAATAGGAAGGGTTTAGAAGTATATGGGGCAAATGCTGGCAATGGGACTAGATTGAATTGGTATATCTGGTCAGCATGGATGGGTTGGACCAATGGGTCTGTTTCCATGCTGTACAGCTCTATGACTCTATGAGATCAATTTCTTGGATGCAGACACCGAAAACGCAGTATTTAGCATTGCTGGAGACATAAAGATAGGTAAGAAATTAAGTTGTCCGGAGGAACAGGCAGTCTCCGGGGCCGAAGACAACAGTGATGGGGAAAGAGAAGAACCAAAGAAACAAAAGATGTGACGACAACAAATGTGCTGCTGGCTCAAAGATCACAGATGAAATGTTCACTGCTTCTCACCACAATTTCCAGATTTTGAGAATTTCCAGATTTACTGTTTTAATTTCAGGTTTCCGCCATTTACAGTAACCTGCTTTCCAACAGTTCTAAGCTTCTCACTTGTCAGGGGTTCCACTAGAAAAAAAAAACTGAAGGTTACAATAAACATCATTTCAACTAATACCCAGAGTGATTGGCTAAAAGACCCATACTAGAAACCTGCTTCCAAGAAAGCAGCAGTTTCATATTTGTAGAAAAACAAATGCTTGGAAAGTAAACTATCCTGTGTACATATTTTAAATTTGGGTCCTAATAGTTGTGGGAATTGGCATTTTCAAGGAGATGGGGGAAGGGATGGAGCAATAATTAGTAAGATAGGATCCCCAATAAACTTCTCAGCCAAGGACCTCTCCATGTGCAGTTTTTGTAAAAAAGGAACAGCTTCATGAACTTGTTCTGGTATATCCGAAAAATTTATCCGTGGAACCACATCCCCAAAGCCCAGGTTTCTGGTTCCATAGATCCTTTAAACTTAGTTTGTATTTCCCTCTCCATCATTCTTTCCAAAATTGCAAATGGTCAAAACTCGTGTGAGCTCCCAAAATTTGGGCTTATCTTCTTGGATGATAGGACGAAGCCTGGTGTGCAGTTCCAGTTCTAGTAACTGGAAAATTGGTACAGGATGATATTAGAGTCAACAGAGCTAGAAAAAGTTGAGGGGGAGAGGGGGGAAATAAATAAAGGGAGTGGGAGCAATAGACAGGGAGGGGGAGCAAACAAAGGGGATGAAGAAAGGGAGGAGGGGCGAGAAAGGGAGGGACAAGAAGTGGGGGGGAACAAAGGGGAGGTAAGAAAGGGAAAGGTGAGGGGACATGGGAGAGGCTGGGGGGAGGGAGAGAGGGAGTCAGGGGAGGGAGTCAAAGGAAGGGACAAAGAAAGCAGGATGCAAGAGCAAGAACAAGAAAAAGATAAAATGAATAAAACAGCACGCAATTGCCAGGGGGTGGAATTCTCTGTGCTATACAAAATTAAGGGGGACTCCCTATCCCTTTCTTCCCTCCTCTTCCCCTCTTCTGTGTCTAACAAAATTAAACTTCAATATGTGTGTGGCCCTCTTCCAATCTTTCTGGCCCTCACATCATTGCTGTAGCATTTTCCTCTGGCTACAGGCCAAAGATTTGGTCTTGTTACCCAACTCCCCCAGTCTCCATTCTACCTAATTTTCTAAATAAGTTTAAACTGCTCATCATCCAACCTCTCTGGGGGATATAAAAGGGGAATCGTGCAGTCTATGTGCTCCCTGCACAAACCTGTCATATTATGGAACAGGGTGAACTACCTCCACTGGGGCTATATATAGTTCAGTCTCATTGTAGTAACAATTGAGAGAAAAATACAGATAATGTTCTAAGATGTTCTGTTTCTTTTAGTCATACTTTCATCGAGAAATATATCAACTATTATTTCATTTATAGCGGGTGTGGATTTGGAAAGCATGACAGGTCTTTCATTGCTATGAGACCTTAACAACCTGGTTTTGCTCCAAGCTGTGCTGAACTATGTTCTGTTGTTCAGCCAAACACACCATAAAAGGACACACTGTGCTGTTGAAGCAATGAGGTCACATAAAGTACCTGTTATTGCGAATAGAGCATTTAGTAAATGATAACTGGAGTTGGCTCAAAAATCAGCACCAACCTATTATTTACTATTATAAATCCCTGGGTTTTTGGATTCCACATTGGCACTGGAATCATTGAGACTCTCCCTTGGGGTTCGAATGCTTATTCAAATGATCTGCAGCCTTTTAAAAAGGGCCATAAAGCTCAGGGACCAAATCCTCAAATTGTTCCGCTATCACAGACAGAATGAGGTGAAGAATAATTATTCCATAGTAAGTGTGTGCAAAAAGCCACCACGAGACATCACTGTGGACAATTAAGGTCTGGTGAGAGGTAACTGATCCTGCAGGCAAGAGATACATATTGTTGCAGGTCATGCCACAGGCAACGAAAATAGATCATGCTTTCAATTCACTCAGATGCATCAGAATTGCACAGTCACAATTCTGACTCTAGAGATATGAACACAAATCTCTAGTTTAACACAGGTGTAATGCTGAAGAAGCGTAGCACTGACAGAATCTGTCAGTGAGGATCAAATGAGGATCATCTTCAGCCTCATAGTGGACGTGAAAGATCCCAACAGTTCCAAGAGCAAGGAAGTTTCTCCTCAGTGTCCTGTGCAATACTCATCCCTCAATCAACAACAGCTTACCTGCTGATTTCTCACATAAAGTACCTCATTGGTTGCAAAGCACTTTGAGATAGCTTGTTGTTATGAAAGGTGCTATATCAGTGTTTTTTTTTCTTTTTTTCTTTCAAAGAATATTTTGCATTTAAGGGAATAAAAAAAGTGTCTTAACGAAATACTGCAGAATATGGGCACTTTATTAAAACTTCAGAATTTTAACTTGAAGCTCACAAAGTTCAATCACATTTATAATTTGATGTAATAAATTTACAAAGTAGAAATTAAAAGTGCAAAATTGCAAAATTGCAAAATGAAATCTCTGCATCTCCTCCAGCAATTGGTAATGGCCTCTTTCAACATGATCAACAAATTGTGAACAAGGGATAATATAAAGTTTTCATCATAATAATTAGGCTTAGCAGAATACAGAATAATCTTACTGTGGTGGTTTTCACTTTGAACAGCAACATGGAGTTCTATCTGCCAGTTACCTGCCAGGACTTTTACGACAGTTCAGTGGTTCAACAAGTTTCTCACATTGTTGTGATGTTGCATGGACACAGCAGCAAACTGCCCCTCACTTAAACTGAGAGGTAAACTTTGTATTTCCACATGAAAGCTGACTCTTTACAGGTGTTGAGTGGCTATTAAGGCCTGGAAATAAGGGACGACTCACTCCTGATCATCTTATGGTTCAAAAGGAACGTCCTGCAGCTAAGACTTTTCAATTCCACATTTCATTTTAAAATGGACGAGGTTGATTGTATAAAAGGTATTTTCATCCTTTATTAACTCACTAACTTGTCAAGAGATAGTAGGAACTGCAGATGCTGGAGAATCTGAGATAACAAGGTGTAGAGCTGGAAGAACACAGCAGGCCAAGCAGCATCAGAGGAGCAGGAAGGCTGACGTTTCGGGCCAAGACCCTAAGGGTCTGATGCTGCTTGGCCTGCTGTGTTCATCCAGCTCTACACCTTGTTATCTCAACTTGTCAAGATACGCTTGACAGTTTGGCAAGCTGCAGCTAGTGTGTGTAGAGGACTTGGACAGCAGTTGTAAATCTAGAGGGGTCTGGATTGTTTCAGTAGCAGAAAGATGGATAACCAGAGGACGATGATTTAGGGTGGTTGGTAAAGTAACTGAGTAACTGAACTTATCACGAGGAAAAGCTGTTTTACACATCAATTAGTTAGGATCTTAAAAGTACTGCCCCAGAGTGTGGAAAATGCAGATGCAGCTTTTTGAAAGGACATGGGATCATTACCTGAATAAGAAGAATTGGAAGGCAACAGGGGAAAGTTGTTTTTGTAGATAACAGACATGGACATAATAGACCAAATATCCTTTGTGGTGCAAAATCTGCATGCATCTATGAACCTGATGCACACCTTTGGAGGAGCTTCATTTAACCTTGCCTCCAACAGCCATTAAATATGCACCTAACCTTCAGAATGATAGCACTGTTATAGGGTGCGAGCTTACACAAAAGGTAAAAAAGGGAAATCGCTGCCACCACTTTTATTGGAGATATTTAGAGACCTACTTTTGCAGAGCTGGATGAGAGAAAGATTAAGAAAAATTGAATTGCTTGCCGGGCTGAGAATGAATTCAGACAGCTCAGCTCTTTGAGGGTCCCAAAGTTGGACTTCTCAAAATATGTCAGTTAAGAAATATACAACTTTAAAATGAAATCTCCTGTCAAAATCACTGAGGGATTTCTGTGGGCAACAAACAAAGAATTTGGATCCCTGCAATAACTTGTTTGTATGCAAAAGCTCATTTGCGCATGTTCTGAGTCGATGTGGCTAAGTGGCCCACTGAGCAGCTGGACTCATTCCTGTAACCTAGGTATGATTCTCAATGTAACAGTTAAAGCAAAACCATAGCCGAGTCCCAAAACACAGAACGACTACTTACAACAACGAGCAATTCAAGGGTCAGTTAATAGAAATCAGTCAAGGTGGGGAGTAAACTGGCAATGTTATTTATGAAAAATAAAATTGACCACAGGCAGCCTATTTTAAGAGCCAACTCTGTAAAAATGCATTATATTACTGAGTCCCACAGTTCTACAGTATTGTTGCTCTCTCTGGGTTCTGATTTCCCCGGGATAGATTTGGACACTAGCAGTGTAGTGATTCACACGTAGGTTCTACACACGTAAAGTCATTCTGAAGTCACATTCACAACTTGACCTTTCTGGCTACATATCAAATAAGAAGTCATCTGATTGTCAGGCAATAGTCTAGACAGCAAGACAGAAACAATCAAGGGTGGTTTGCACAGTTTGAATCAGAGTTCCATCTGCCTGTCTACATAATAAAATAGTGATCTCAAGGACATGTCACAGCACTGCACAGTGACTTTCTGCCACTGCTTCACTTGAATATATTCCAGGCTGAGTTAGGCAACATTTGACAAGCAAACAGGAAACTGGAATTAAGGTCACTGTTGAATCAGCAATGATCGGACTGAATGGCAGAATAGGCTTAAAGGGCAAAATAGTCTTCTCCTGGTTCTGTTTCTTACATTTTTATGTTAAACTGCCCAGAGCCAGAGAGCAAAACAATGAGCTTATGTCTTGCAGTGGATGTAGAGTGCAATATTTTTCTCCCATAGGGAGACATCCACTTGAAGAAACAAATGCAGCCAACAAAGCATGCTTAGGTCTTGCTAATAAATTTTCTTCCAATTAAATGTACATTGGAGGAAATAATCTCCCATTTGAGTCTTTCATGTCTGTTTCAAAAAATACGCACACCTAGAAATTCTGTGCCCAGTCTGGCATCTTGTGCTGCAGCGCTGTGAGAATTAAATTATCCTTCCATCCTGCCCTTCGCAGTTGTCTGGTGGCTAACTGTCCGTTGGGAAAGATTTT